TGTGGATCGAAAAAGAAAATTAGGGTTTTCTTTGATCTCATGATACCATGTGAGAATTAATGGGAAAGGTACTCCAATAGGAGTCCTGACATGTATATGTATAATGTAAGAGTTATAAACATACAAGGAAACAAATATTCTAATAATATTCTATTACATTCTACTTGTATATGCCGACTTACACGCCGATTTACACATCAATTATATTTTATCTATGTACAAATTTAATTTTTATTTTAGTAAATGAAACTATCGCTGACCCAAAATAAGTGAATTATATCTTTGGCGTCTATGATACTGAAAAGAAAATGGTTTGTGTCACAAGTAATGCACTTTTTGAAAGTCACAAACAATTTCCTTTACTAAAATAAATTTTAATTTTTGAGTATAAAAAAATATACTTGGCGTGTAAATCGTTATTAAAATGAAATCTAATAATTATTTAGTATGAAATTTAATTTTTGAAAAGTAGCATTTTTCTTATTTGTTGTGCTATTGTGTAAAAATAGGAGTGAAGTTGAAATGATGCACTCAACTTTATTAGATTTGACTCCGATAGTACAAAGTGAAATGAATGAAAGTTAAAAGAAATTTAGAGCCTTTTGTCGATTATTTTTCGGCTTATCAAGTTTATGTTGGGGTCGATCACGTAGGAGGTGATAATCGAGTACTTGGATTGCTTAAGGATCATGTAAGTTCACTTTCCGAATTGATATTTCTTCCCAATGCCTGGATTACAAGAAATTCAATCTAGAATAATTCTTAAGGACACTCTAGAACTTAGGCACAAGAACTAGAGCCAAACTAGTCAAGTATATGGATTGTTATCTTTAATATGAGTGCCAAAGTGATGAAGATATGTTGGATATGTTTTCTCCTCCCTCTCTGTATGAAATATGGTGATATATAACCATATTACACGTCCTGGGCAGTTACAACACGTTTGAGAGTAACCGTGGCAGTTTTTAGGAAACTGCTGGAAACTGCTCAACCGTTCTAGAACTCGGTCTAGAACCACAGAGCTGGTTTACTGAAAGTTATACCTCGAGTTCTACCTCGAGTTTCACTAACATAGACAATTTGGAATTAAACTAGTTCTTATATACAAGTGTGCATTTCACACCTACTAATTTGTATTAGATCATAGTTCTAATTCCCATTGACACTCATGTCATTTCCAATTACACAAAACGGCCGGTGACACTAAAATCACCAACAATTTATTAGTCAATTAACTTTTCACTAAACACATAATTTTTGATTTTATGCGCTGAATTGTGTAAAAATAAAAAAAAGTAAGGTTCAAATTATTTTATAACTGTATTGACTGAAGTTACTGTAGAGGATCATTGTATCTATTTTTTACATAATTTTTTATTTATTTTATTAATAGAATATATTTTTAATATTTTTTTAATAAATCAACATAATCAACCAATCCATCAACCTCATCTAGAACTTTATAAATTTGAGTAAAATTCAATGATCGAGCCAATTTCAGTGCTATCAAACAAGCTCTTAGATGTTACTTCTATTACTACGTCCCACTCAACTTTATCATTTTTATGTCCATTGAGAAATTAGAAAAAGAAAAGTTTCGTGATTAAGATTTGTGCGAATGAGAGAGAAATGAACAGAGCTATATATCTATAACTTAATTTCTTTAAAATAAATGTGATGGTATAAAAATATGTTAGCGAAGTCTTTAAAATGAAGGTGTATTGAGCTCATCCCTGTCTATGATGGGGACATGAACTCATTGTGCAACCATAAAGAAAAAATGAAGGTGTATTGAGCTCATTCCAAGCTACCGGTTGAGGTAAATGATTTGATTTGAGGAAACAAATATGCCACCGAGTACGGAGTATTATTTACTTTTTATGTACTCCTTACTATTCCTATTATGCAAACTAAATTTTCACTATGTAGCATACAGACGCACAGATACACCACTAACCTAAGATAAAATTATAAAAACTTATGTCAATGTTCTAGTTAAACTAGTATGATACCTGACGTGCACTTGTCGTGAGGTGCACTCAAAATAATTAATCAATACAACGAATATACGTAGTATAACGAAGTAAGGTTCGTATCCACAGGGAAAGGAATACTTTTCTTTTATATGAGTAGTAACAAAGGGGGGTTTAGATTTGTTTGATTTAAAAACACTAAGATGAACAACCAATATGAGTTTAATTTAATGAGATGAGGACTTGCTTTTGCTTTTATCCACTTAATGAAATGCTCGCCTATCCCGGTTATATCTTTAACTATCTTCCTCTCGAATACTCAATCGAGGAGTATATCCAGTTCATCGAGGGTAGTTATTATTAACGAGATGCGTTCATTAATAAAACTTACTATCGAGTCAATATAGAACAAGCGCCGTATATTAACTTGATAGTAGCAATAAACTTAAGATGAAAACGATTGAGATTGATAACCTCAACACAAGCGGTTTATTGGTTTAATCAATATAATTAATTCCCCTTGGCATATTAACCATGAGATGCATGCATTAATATTCCAAGTTTACTACCGTTGAAAGAACCGGATTAATAACAAACGTATTAACCGATTGATTCTAGTAATAATTAATATGATAAACAAAACTAGTTGATACTTTAAGTAATGTTTAAAATATTAATATGAAATATGAATAGGAATTAATTAATATTCAAGGAAGAAGATTAAAGAAAATAACTCACAACTTACAAATTCATTAAGCTTCAAAGTAGCAAAACCAAGATGGAAGAGTTTAGCTCCTCATTTGGAGACTAAACATGATGAAAAATATAAAGAAAGAGTTATTCTATACTGAGCTTAGATGTACAAAGGAATTGGATATCTTTTTGTGAAGGAAATGAGGTGTATTTATAGGCTTTTGGGATGGGATTCGGGTACTCGATCGGGTATATACATGGTACCCGATCGAGTATGTGTGTAATACTCGATTCGAGGTATACTCGATCGGTTTCAGGCTATTTTCCATAAGTATACCCGATCGGGTATATGTTAATACCCGGTCGAGTATGCTTAGAAAGTGGTATTCGGACCATACTCGACCGATCTTCGTTTAAAACTCAAAGGCATACCCGATCGGGTATGTCGGTCTACCCGATCGGGTATAGACATTAAATCGTGGCCGAAATCCTCCCGGCATGTTCCCTTGTCTTCGGATCTGATTCGATTTGAAGTTTCAACCTAATACCCGATCGAGTATAGTTAATACTCGACCGAGTATAGACAAAAATTCAGGATCCTTCTTTTATCTTCAAATTTTGCACCTTCTTTCCACTCTTTGGGTTCACCAACTGTACTTTGAGTGATCAAGACCTGTTTGAGCTCAGAATATATCTAATCTAAACTATTTACAAGAATTTAACAAACTAATCTATTACACCAAAAGTGTGTAATTTCCATAGTAAAGATCAAGCAAAACTAATTAAAAACACAAACATGCAAATGGAAATTACAAACGTATCAATACCCGTGCGATGCACGGATACAAATTTTCTTTTATGATAAGTTGATTAGCAATAACAAAAAAATCAATGTGACCGTCTAGTAAAGGTGCAAACACATTTTCTTAAATAAAATGAAAAACGAAATTACCACTTACCGTAAGATACCAGGAGGTAAACTGGATGAAGTAAAATTTATATATAGATAGTAGCATTAGGAGTCCGGAATACTTCTTGGTTTGTTCTTCTAAGTTAGTAAAAGCGGATTTTTCTTCTTCTTAGTAACTCAATCATTAATGGAATACGTTTCTTGCATCAATTTTTTTTCATGTTAATAATCTTAATATTTTTTTAGCAGGGCTAGTCACGGAATTCAAAAAAAAAAAATAGTCACGGATATGACCGTGCCTACGTCCGTGACTATAGGTAGTCACGGATCGTATCCGTGACAAACCTGGTCCGGCCAACTCAATTTTGCCTCCGGCGGGTTATTTTTAAAATTTGAGATTAGTCATGGACAAACCCGTAACTAATTCCGTGACTAAACTTTAACCTAAATCTTCATAGTGTTTTCGGCGGGATTTTTTTCAAAATAGGACTTAGTCACGGACACATTCGTGACTAATTCCGTGACTACATTCGAAATTTAATTTTCCAACCCTCCAAAGTTAATATGTACCGGTAATTTGTACGAATTAAAGTAGTCACGGACAAATCCGTGACTACGTCCATGACTAAATGTTTTATATATGCAGCAACAGATTCATCCAACAGATTCATCCAACAGAAACACACATATAATTGAAAGGTTGAATTGAAGGATGTAATCTAGCCATCTTATATCATTGTCCCTGTTTATGCAGATAAGGTATGTAATTTGAATTACGTTTTTTTTGTATGAATTAGTTAATTAGTTCATTTTAACATTTTAAGTGTAATAAACTGTTAAATTGGAGAGAGTATTAATTAAGTAACGAATTATGTAAATTTCATTTAATTTAGTGAAAAATTAGTTAGTTAAACGTAGATTTAATCGTAGTGACGCATTAAGTTAAATTATTTAGCTAAATTAGTTAAATTTATAATAATATTAGTTAAATTTAAATATAAGTTAATTTGAAAATTAGCTAAAGGTTGTTAATTAATTAACGAAATAAATTAGTTAAAATTAGTTAAACGTAGGTGTAATTTAAGCATATTGTTAATCAATTTGTATTTAGTCAAAATTACGTAAATTAGTTAGATTTTTTATAATGTTAGTTAAATTTAAGTATTATTTAATTCAAATGAGTTTATATATATGCTCAAATTATTGGATTTGCTCATATTATTTAATTTAGTGAATTATTAAATGTGTATTATTAATATGATTAAGATGTTCATAATTTTAGTATTATGAATTAAATGTCATTAACGTATTGTTTCTAGTTTAATAATCTTAATTATTGGACGTTAGTTAATTTTAGCGAATTGTAGTGAAATTTAATGTATAAATATTCCTACACATAAAAAATTATTATTAATAGAAAGATAGGGTAAGCACACGGCACACACGTGTATTAAGGCCATGGATGACGGGTGAGAGAAACCTCGGACTCTTCAAGATTTGGATCATCGGTCCGCCGCAAAAAAAACATCGATCAATCCATTGGGCACAAAATCCTTGCCGGCGGCTTTCATCAACGCCCTATGCTCCTCAATCACTGGGTCCAGAAACTGCTCGTACTCCTGGGAGTCCTGGCTAAAAGCTTTCACTCTTTTCTCACAGCCTTGCAGGTCAAAGGGGCGCAGCCATGGAACCCAATCCCCAAGATTGATGCCCAACCCGCCGAGTTGAAAAAATTCATCCACAAGCTCATTCGTCGTCTTCATATCGATCGGCGTAGTTCTCAATTCCCTCCCGTCCCCTGTTTTGCATGATTTCTTGTGATCTGAAAGTAGTCTAGCTGAAATGGAACATGTCAGTTTTGACAGATAGTCTCGAAGCAGGACCGGTACACTCGCCGCCGCCACCGCGTAAAGGCGGGAAATAAGAGCCATTCTTTCCTCGACCCGGACGTACTCGAGCGAGTCAAGCTTCCGAGGCGTGCCGAGTTCAGAGCTTAGAATCCTCCGCCAGGGCCTGTAAGGAGACCAGAACAGTGCTGTGCCTTCGAAAAGTGGTGTGCACCTACGGCGGGCGCGTGGCGAGAGGCGAAAACGGCGTCGTGCGTTTTCAGGACAAGTTTGGCTGCTTGGGGAGAGGAGGCGACTAAAACAGGGGTGGAGCCGAAGTTTAGGAGCATCAGCTCACCGTACTTTTGGGACAGAGAGTCTAAGGATTAGTGTGGGATGGAGCCGAGGAGGTTCAGATTTCCTATGATCGGCCATGGCTTTGGACCCGGCGGAGTTTTCTGTTTTTGTGGCCGTCTTTGATTTATTATGAAGAGAAAGGCTATTGTGGCCAGAAGCCATGGCAAGGCCGCCTGCTGCTGAACAACCAAATCTAGGAAATACTCATAATCTAGGAAATGTGACCTGGTGTTCTATTTATAAGAAAAGCTACATCTCATGAGCTCTTAGCACCGACCGAACAATTAACTGAAGATGTAATTAGACTTTAATCACAAATTTTCATATAGCGAGTTGGGATCGTAGCCAAGTACTTGTAGATACACATTTTTACATACATAGTAATCTTTTATTGCAATTGACAGGATTCCAATCAAGACTTACTCCTTAGTACACCTCTATCTACTTGTTGAGCTATGCTACCGACAATGTGTTTCATTTATCGATAACAGTACGTATAGCACCGGCCTAAATACATAGCCTTAGTACACCTCTATCTACTTGTTGAGCTATGCTACCGACAATGTGTTTCATTTATCGATAGCAGTACGTATAGCACCGGCCTAAATACATAGCCTTAGTACACCTCTATCTACTTGTTGAGCTATGCTACCGACAATGTGTTTCATTTATCGATAGCAGTACGTATAGCACCGGCCTAAATACATAGCGGCACGCATACAGCTAGCAGGAAGGCTACCTTGCCTACTAGTTTAACCAATATGTGATTCATTTCTGCCAAATCGTGTCCTTGTTTCCTTCTTGATGATGAAGTGTCTTGTTCTATATCGGTTTACAAGTTCAGGCACTTATCATTCAAGTACTCCGGAACTATACCACAAATTATACTCTGGCATCATTGTTTTGTGAAATATGGATCCTAGAATAGGAGCAGAATATTGTTATTTTTCAAAACTAGAAGTCTACAACCTAATATTTAAAATTTAATAAATAGGGCTAATTATTTGTGATGGAATAAAAATACTCTTACAGAGTTGTAGCAGTGCCCATGTCACACTGTCATGCTCCGCCACCAAAGGACTGATACTAGTTATGAAATAAAACTAGAGGACAATTAATTATACTCCATCCCACAAAACTTGGCATGTTGACTATTCTTGGTCAATGATGGTCAAGTTTGACCTATAATAATTTTTAGTATAACATTATGCTCGAGCCGCAAAGACTCTCACCTACGGTGCGGTAATTAAGGGGGGTCGGATGCATGCAACTTTGTCTCTGTACTAAAGCATAAAGAAACAATTTTCGGATGACCTATGATGAATATTGCATCAAAAATTGCATAGAGTGACTAGTGTTTTATACCAAAGAATCGATGAGTCATTTTGCTTTATTTTATCATATTTCTAAACCAAAAAATATTGTATCTTTGGTTCCATTAGAAATGATGGAAATGTAGTACTTCATCCGTTCTTAAATAAGTGCAACAGTCAACATTTCACACTTGCCGAGACACAACTTTGACCATTAATATATATATAATTCTCCATTAGTAAAAAATTTAAAAAAAATAGTTTTTGAAAATTTACAATGAGACAAATTTAATAATATATTTTTTAAAAAAGTATATTAATACATCACTAAATAAAATGTAGTCAAAGTAGAACACGTGAATAGTGTAAAATTTCACATGTTGCACTTATTTAAGAACGGAGGTAGTATAAAATTATACTCCGTATAAAATATGAAAATTATATATGAAAATTTTTTTCGTTAAAAATTCTTTGAAAAAAGTATAAAGTTATAAGTTTCACACAAATATTTTTTGTTTTTGATCATCAAAACGGAAACTCCTATTAAATCAATAAATTATTTGCCAAATGGCTGCTAATACAATTCGGAATATAATCATAATCAACACGATGAGTTTCACACAAATATAATAACTAAAAGTATTATCCAAATTTTATTATCATTACAAAAGAAAAGACAAATTAATTGGTCATTATCTTTGGGACAGAGAGAGTACCTATCAATTAATTTATAATTATATTAGGGATGGAAATGTAATGTTTACTCCAGGGAAATAATACATGCGGTCTTATGTTTGTAGGATGACTACATTTTCGTCTTATTTAATAACAAACAGCCCGTGAATGGCAAGGAGCATGTTGAGTATGGTGGAGGCTAGGATCATCACCTAGCAAGTTATACTTTTACTAAATAGGTCTTTAGCCATAGATAATTCACTTTTTCGGGGTCAGATACAATTCTCATTGCTAAAATGAAAATCAATTGTTTTTGCAGACAAAATACACTTGGCGTGTAAACCGGTGTGTAAGCCGACGTGTACAAGTAGAACGATTGTAATTCTATAGTCGAGTGCCCCTAGACCATATGAGTTAAATCGGGAGATATTACATAATGTGAAAATTTCGGACATTAAAAGTGAGGATTATATGGAACTTTTCATATATGTCATACATTTAATTTATTCTATGATGTACACTTCTACCATCACTCTAGACATACTCTAACTGAATATAACTCTCATAGCATTGAGATGTATACGTATACGCACAAAAAGTAAGGTTAAACTAGAGCCCACAAAATTGCAGCGGGAAGCAAGACGCTCAGATTAATCATAAACTATGAAAGACTTGGCTAGAGGGTTGGGATATTTTGGTGTTATTACTCATTAGTGAGCTCTGTTCCCTTGTATATTGATCCCCTTGATAGATCGATAGTTCAATACACATCTGGAACTGGAGACTATTTGCAACTTCTTGTTCTTCACAATTGGTTAAGAGTGCACTAACAATGCCCATGTTTAGACAAAAACAATAAGGTGTATCATTTATATCTTTAACGTACATAGGTTAAATTATTTACAACAATATTTGCAGTTATGTATTTTGCATGTTAGTAGAGTGTGCAGGCGTGCAAACGATTTGTTTTCAAATTTGTTCATAAGACTTACATTAATGTACATGGTCTCATCTCTTCACCCTCATCTTTGGTTGGAAAGCAGCAGACATTGCACGCAATCGGTTTGTTATCTCTGTAAATGATGGCCTTTCCGCTGGATCAAATTCCCAACAATCTTCCATCAACTTTCGCCATGCAGAATCACACCGTTGAGGAATTGGAGGCCTAAGAGTGTTATTTACAATGCCACCTTGCACACAAGATGGACCAAAGAACAACTGTTAATTAGGTTAATACTTCAATTTTTATAGAAAAAAAAATCAAAAACAAAAAAAAATAGAATATACCTTCCAAAGACTTTAATATAATTCAAGAAAGGGTTCACTCAGCAAGGCCACAAGACACTTGGACAAAAAAACATGCTAAAAGATTGAAGTCAAGTTCTTAGCTAAACGACCCAAGGGGTTGAGTTTTGTCACTCAGCTAGTTCATCCCAAAATTTAATTAACTCATCATTCTATGTTTAGTTTTCTCAACAATGTGGGACAAACCTGGTTCAAGATAAACTTCAAAATTGTGTTATGGCCACTTATCAGGGTCATAAAACACTTGGAAAAACCACATTAAAAGATTCAATACAATCTTGTTATAACCTGAGGTAATGTGGAACGCTAATGTGTAACAGTCTTCCAGCTTAAACAGATTCTGAGTTCTTTCCTTTCTTGGGCCCGCCTAATTCCAGTTTTACTTCTCATCTACCCAGTCAGATGCTTAGCACTCTTTACAACATTTTAAGGAGACTATGAAAAAACATACCTATGATTGTGCCGCAGTGCATGCTTGCAAAAGGCTCTTCTCCTGTCAAGATCTCCCACATTGTAATGCCAAATGAGAAAACATCAACCTGGAATAAAAATTAGAACTTCATTGGTTCACTTTTAAGTGAAATATAACTTGACACTATCTAAAGCTAAAAGAATTCTAATATGAGATGCATCACTTTTTCAGAAACCCGACTGCTGCTCCCATTTAATAACTCGGGTGCCATCCATGGAAGTGTTCCTCGAACACCACCCGAAACAAGAGTATTCCGTTTTATTCTTGACAATCCAAAATCACCAACCTGAAACATTAAGAATTCGTTAATTATGTTTAAATAAAAAGTAGAAGAAATGCAATTTCACAGAAAAAAGGACTGGTTATTATGATATATAAGAACAAGCACATTTGTGTATGTGTGCGCATACATTACCTTGCAAACAGGTCGTTGTGGATCTCCCAGATTGACAAGCAAGTTCTCGCACTTCAAGTCAAAATGAACAATATTTTTCAAATGCAAGTATTCCATACCAAATGCAGCATCTAATGCAATCATAAGTTTTTTTCGTCTGTCAAGAGTTCTGCAAAAAAGAGGCATATATTCCCAAATGTAACATGTTTCTGTTTAGTGTTCCACATTGGATGCTTGCTAGAATAGATAAGTCTGAAGTAAACCCAACTTAGTATGGTATGAGAGTTCAGTCTGCAGATAGAGGTTTGTTTATTTGTATGTTTAACTCATTTATCCACCTCTGAAATTGCCCAACCCATGACATAGGATGCTTACTTAAATGATAGCTAATATAACAGTGAGACAAACCTAAGGATCCTTTTTGGGTGAGTTAGGCATAATTTAATAGTTTCAAAAAGTGTTGTAGCATGATATTCACTACTCCCTCAGTTCCCGTAACAATGGGACAAGAGAGAGCGGCACACAAACCGATAAAAAGTGGTTTGTGTGGTTGATATTAAGTAAGAATGATTTAGAAACACACAAACTTTACCAAATTTGATATGAGACAATCTTAGTAGGACGGTCCGAAAAGGTAAAATGAGACAATCTTAGCCGGACGGAGGGAGCATAAGCTAAAAGATGATAGCGATAATAACATTAATAATGGTAATGTTCCATGATTTGCTTGTTGATTTTATAATATCATGTTAGATCTAATTTAATAGTTTCAGAAAGTGTGGTAATATGAGTGGTTCACTATAAGCTAAAAGATGATAGCAACAATAACATTAATAATGGTAATGTTCCACGATTTGCTTTATTATTTTATAATACCAATCATGTATTGAGACATGACTATAGCAAATCTCGATCAGTCATCAACAATCATCAAGTGTTGAAAAACCTATGTATGCATTAGTTTATAGTTTTAAGTTTTAACAATTCATTGATATTATAAGTATGATGCAATTGAACCCAATGTTGTTTAGATTAAGGTGATGCTGATGGTGGATAATAGAAGCAGCAACAACAATGGTAACACGACCTCACCTGTCCTTCCTTCGAAGTACATGCCTCAGTGACCCATTAGCCATGTATTCAGTAACTGTAGCCATTGTTCCTTCTGGTCCATCAGGAACCACGCCATAGAATGCTACTACATTTGGGTGGCGGAGGTCTGAAAGAATCTTAGCCTCCCTCCAGAAATCATTGGTCTGCAAAATAGTGAAATACATCACATACAGCACACACACACATATATATTTTACCAATACAATTAAGGCTTAAATATGTTTTTAGTCCCTATAAATATAAGCTTTTTGTATTATGTCCCAGGCTCCCGGCCAAAAGTAATCATTACAGCTGCCTCAAAGTTGGGGAAGGATGAAAAAGATGATAGCATATATCGAGGGATGAAAAATAGAAAAAAATTGGAGGGATCTATAACAAAAGTACTATAATTGCAAAGACTTGATATACATTTAAGTCTACAATCAATATCTTCTTATCCTATCTCGATCACAGTATTCTCAGAAAATTTATCTTGTTGCCTTGTAGTAACATTCCCTAAATGATCTTTGAGGCCTATTAAAACTGAGTTGTATTTTAACTCCAATTTATGGGTCTGAGTTGGGGGGCACCTACCAACCGTTCTTGCTCAGATAATCGGCCAGCAAAACAGCTCTTTTTTATCATCTTGATAGCAACATCTGTTCCCCTCCATTTTCCATGATGTACAGTCCCAAATGTACCAGATCCCAACTCCCGTAGCTCTTCAAGATCACTATTTCTTATAATCTGCGCAAAGAAACTGAAAACATTCAGTTTAGAGTTGATGCCATTCCTTAAAAGATGAAATGCTTGTTCCAAAATGTAAAGGACATCTAAACTATGGAACATGCAAATACTACAGTAAATCCTATAACTTAAATGGGAAGTGGAAATAAACAGTAATATTGACCTGAAAGCCACATATGCCCGCCTCTGTTTCAATATTTGCAGCATCATTGATAGATAAACCCTCTCTATCACCTTCTGCTTTTTTGTTCTAAAAATATAAAATGGGCGTTTTACATGAAAATTTCTTGTCAGGGTTATTATTTGAAACTTTCTCCTTCTCAATAGAATGGAGCATCACATGGAAGAAGCCAGAGTACCTTATAGTCAGGTTCATCTTGCTCATGTGGGAAGGAATTTGCAGACGATGGTCCATCAGGGACTCTAAAGCGATTAGAATTATCTGAGAGTTGGAACTCGAACAATGTCTCATGCTTTTGGTTGGATAAACCCTCTGACTTTTGCTGTGTCTGTTTACCATTGGACATGCCCTGATTGACAGTAAAATCTTGTGCAAAAGCAGCAGCTGAATTTTGTAATGATATGTCAGAAACAAGGGGATCAGTCACCTCTATATTGCAGCCAGATCTATCTGATAAACCGAAACACTCATCCCGGCAGTTGTTTGTGGAGGGTTTCATCAATCCTGTAGAAAAGTTTCTGTTTTCACTGACTGCAGGCTTTAAAGTTGTTCCCCAACAAGCATTAGGATCATTGCAGTGCTCTATACAAATGGTTGCTGCAGTATTATTACTGGGAGAGACAAGGGGTTTAGAAGAGTTTCTGCCACCATAAGCTTTTCGAGTACATGTTTCCTTAGTCCCTAAATAAGATTCTTGCTGAGCTGAGTAAAGATTCTTCTGCTTTAACTGTTTCACAAAGTCTGATTCTTTAAGATTCTGCTGCTCAAACTGCTTGTCATCTCTTACTTCTTTCCCTTGCATTGACAATTCTTTTGAAGAGCTAATCATTTCAAGTGAAGGGCATTTCTCTATATTAAAATTTGAAGGGACATTATATCTCTGCTCACAGTGCAGTTGTGGATCAGAAATAGCATGATGCATTCCGCAACCAGATTTAGTATGCAAATCTGGTCTCAGGAGCAGTTTGGATGCAATACAATGTTGAAGTACAAGATTTTGAGGGATTGACTCACAAGCCTTGTGCAGTTCCACTAAATTACAGTCCTTTTTTCGGTAACAACTTAACGGATTACTACAGCAATAGCATTGGTCCACAGGATACGGACTACATGAATCATTACCTTCATCACATTGAATATTGGTAAATGCCAAATCAGGGAAGCGTTTGAAATCTTTCAACTGATGTCCTGCTAGTGGAGACAATGGAGGAGACTGATATGTATTAAACTGGTGAGTGGTAGGATTTTTAGGGACTATTATGTTGAATGGATGAAATGAAGCAGGGGAATCTCTTTGATAGCTCTGACTATAGTCTAAAGTGCTCCCAAACTGGCTTGGTTGTAAGGTCAATGGTTCAAAAGAACAAAGAGTTTCCTCCTCAGATGAATGCACAAGAAAAAGACGTAGAAATTGTGAAATCTTTCCCGAGTCCTGGAATTCCTCTATCATGTTATGGAGATCCTCATCAGATGTCACAGATATAAGTGCATCAAGATCTTCACCAGTGAGTTGGTACTTTATGGTGTGAGGGTGATCATAAATGGCTCTAGTCTTTTTCACTAGTTCATCATAAGTTAAGTTCTTCCTAATTGATATTATTCTAGTCTCACCACCAACATACCTAAGCCTACCATTGTTCGGTCCTCGAGAAATTCTTCCTCCGAAACTGCATAGGAATTTCAGTTTTTTAGAGAAAGGTTTGTATGGCCCTTCTTGATCATCGCTGTAAGGGTGGCATGAGTGTGGGGAGTTTTCTGCTGGTCCCCGTGTAGCTCTATTTCCATCCATATGAGCTCCATGATTTCCTGCTATACTTTCAAAACCTCTTCTTTGTATACCTAGTAGACCGTTAAGGTCCTCATAGACCACATCATTTTGAGGAATGGTAAAGCCACCCCGGTTGTTTTGTGAATCGTTCATGGTGGGTACTTTTCGTGGCGTGAATTCTGCAGAAAAAACTTCACCGGTCTCTAGAGATATACTACTTACACGTTCATCCCTATTGTGTATATCACCCCGGGCACCACTATTAATATTTTCAGATATAACACCAGACGGTTCACTGCTCATTTTCTTTCCAAGTTTCCTTCCTGTAAGAAGTCAACTAGACCTTTGCGATCTCGCTTGCCTATAAAATCAGCTCAATAATTTGAAGCCTTTATTTGTATCACTCAAGAACCTCCCTCTCTGGCTGGGCATTTGTATTTCCTTGTATATTCTATGGCAACAACATAAGAGAAGGGCAACCCCAATGGGAAATGTACTCCTGGTATGTGAGCGAAGATTTATGCAGCATTGCCCCGTTATGCGAAACAATTGTATATCAATTACAGGGTTTCCCAGGAATGGAAATTGTATAAAATATTTCATTCCTTACCTCCTGTGAAAGAATTTGATCACATAATGAGGAAAGCATTTACCCATGGATGTATATCTAGGCTATTGCATCTTACATTCTTACTGTTTCAAGAAAATCAGAGCAGCAAGTTGAGATAGCTGCCCAAATTGAAACGGGAAAGACCCAATCTCCATTCAAGATTTTTTTTAAATATGCAAAACGTAATCTTTTAAAAGGGGGAAAGAACAAAGATGGCAATGCTATTTTCCTGTTTATTCCTATTAGTGCCAAGAGGAAGCAGAATAGTACCTTTTGGGGTTATTTAGGTCCTTGGAGATCAGCATTTCTTGGAAAAGGGGGGTTCAGAGGAAAATGGAGGTTGAATTTGGATTGATTTAGCTCTTGAGGTGAAGAGGAGAGACATGCAAAAGGGGGAGTAAAATTGCATGGGAAATTCTATGGTGCATGTACTAATTCTTGGGGTATCGATACATTTCCTTGGTTGGGCAAATAAGGCACCAACACGTGCATGTATGCTAAAACATATACGGCGTATTAATAAAATGGCATGGGTACTTTTGAACTACACGTACCGTACCTACTTAATTTTAACAGGCACCGTAGAAGTACCCTGATTGCATTTGCATGGGTGTTGGAAATGGGAGGAAAGGAGGTCACGTGTTTGATCGATACAAGTGGCCCGCCCCGGGAGCCAATGTAGCAGCCATAGTGTCAAACTGGAGAGAGAAATTGTTCGGCCGGATGAGGATGGGCGTGACCGGCTTGCCTTCGAACTTATATAAAAAGTGCAAATAAGTCTTTTTGTAAGAAGTTCTATCCGACCGTCGCCACTTGGGACGATTTCCGGTGAAATTTTTTTATGAAATTTTTTGAGCATCTTCTTCATTAAGTCTAGTTTACCCATACCAAATTTCAGTTAAAACGTCAACCGAGAAAGCAGTCAAAAGATTTTCTGAAATATACTGCGCTGTTTAACTGTTCAGTTATCTTCAAAAAAAATTGAGTGCCGATTCAACATTTAAAATCTTGACTCCACCGGTATATTTATCATTATATGGAGTATATCATTATGTCTTACCTAGTCATCATTAACAAAAAAAATCACGTTTTTGGCACCATAGATTTTTTTAGACAAGTGCCCATGGAGATTATTGGGCGGAATAGGAGATTGAATGGCACCCTAATCGATGGTAATGATGTATTTTAGTATTCTACTACTCCGTATTAAATGAAGCAAATCAATATCATATTATATTGAAATATTTCAATCCGTGCTACTCCACTTGAAATTTGTCCTAAATTATTTTACACAAAAGTCTAAACATTAATTACTTTCCCTTAAAAAGTATATATGCGATGAATTAAATAATCCATATATCACGAGTAACAAGTTTACATTTCTATTAGTCCAAATGATTCTGAAGTTAACAAAATATATAATTAATGTGGACATCGAGTATATAACAGTTATTACATTTGGCTTATAATAAATTAATAAATTTGGTAAAATAGTTAAAGGGGTTACTTAAAGTAACCGTTGGGAGACAGATTTACCCTTTTCAATCTTTAATAAACTTGTTAAGGGAAGCTTCACACGTGACAGCCCTATTGAATTTCAATCAATTTTAAAATTGACTTGTTTTGGTGCTAAGTTTCGAACGATTGTTTTATACGTAGTACTACATATATAAATGTCATAGCTACCTAGTAATGAATCACGACTTTCTCCTCCAAAATTAGTCAATACTCCCTCCATCCCATTGGACTTTGTCTACTTTCTTTTTTTTTGTCCCAAAAAATTTTGCCATTTTCCAACTAAAGCAACTAATTTGTGGTTCTGTACATTTATTCCTCCTCTGCATAAGTTTCAACCACACAATTTTTAGAGTCCGTTTGGTGACACCCCTTTTCGGCTTATCAAGCTTATCAGCCAGAAAAAGTAAGGTTGGAGTTACTTTAATTTATTAATAACAAATTAAATATTTTTGATATAATTTTTTGATATAATTTTAGATATATTTTAAAATAACAAATATATGGTTTAATAACAATATTTTTTCTAATAACAAATATTTTAAATATAATTTTTTCACGAATCAGCAGAATAAGCCAATACGCCACTTCAGCCAGAACATCATAAATTTCAGCAGAATCAGCCAATTCAGTCGATTTTGGTGTTACCAAACGGGTTCTTACTTTTCTTATTTCTCACCTACTTTGCACTTGGCAAAGTCCATCTGGACGGAGGTATTATTATTTTATATTTGGTTTTTTTGAGAGTTTTTTTTTGAATTATTGCTAATTAATTAATTAATTACGAAAATAATGTTGGGTTAAAAGTATTTACGGATCTACTGCTGGGGTTAACCGTGGTAGGGGTAAGTCACCCAACGGTTGGGCGACTTTTAAGTTGCCAACGGTTGGGCGACTTTTAAGTTGCCAAACCGTTTGGCGACTTATAAGTCGCCCAACCGTTGGGCGACTTACATCTTAAACAGAAAGTCGGGTTGGGCGTTTCAGACAGAACGCAACATTTCCCCCAAATCCCCAAACCCTCTGCAGCTACGAGCGAAGTGCGGCGACCCACCTCCCCCTGACTCCGGCGAAGGTTAATCTCCGGCGAGCGACGACAAGACCTCCATATCTTGTCAATACTACTTCCCTTTCATCTTCTTCAACACTCTAGGTAAACAAATATCTTCAATTTATCTCATTTTTCATTTTAGGGTTTAGAATATAGAAAATTGGAATTTGTGAATTAGGAATTCATTTGTGAATTGATTTGTTGTGTAATGTGAATATGTATGAAGTGTTGTATGTTGATGTTGAATTCATTGTTATATTTTTTTTTGAACTTTGTTATGTAATGTAGATTTGGAGGTATGAATTGAAGTTTGTTAAATTTTTGAACTTTATTAATGCTAAAAAATTTAAGGTGAGATAACAAAGAAATCTTCATTTAAATCCACGCGTATTAACGAATGAAGAGTGGAAATGATTATTTGAACTTTATTAATGCTAAAAAAATTAAGGTGTGATGAGTTCTTCGAGTACTGAGTCCTGGTCGATGGATGCAACAAGGCGAATTAAGAGGTGTGACTGTGGACTCCAAGCACCAGTGTGGACTGCTTCAACAGACAAAAACAGGGGGGAAAGATTTTATGGGTGTGGTCGTTTCTTGAGTGGTCAAAATTGCAATTCCTTTGAATGGGTTGAGGATGAAGAATGTGGTACTTGCCTGAGACAGATAGAGACCTTGTTTCAGAAGATTACCAGTGTTAAAGAGAATTTCCGAATGAAAGAATTGGAGATGCAAGCTGAAATCAAGAGTTGTGTTCGTGAAATTGGTCTTTTGAAACTCCAAAATATGGAAGAGGAGCTTAAGATGTCAAAGAAAGGCAATGGGACTTTCTCCTGGAATGTAGTGTGGTTCGGGTTGTTTGTTATCGTCATGCTGGGAAGTAGGATATATTAGCAGATGTTTAGGTGTTGTGTGGTTGTATGTGGGTACTGATTTGGTTGTTCAATTTGGTTGTATTGTGTAATGAAGATTATGAATTTGGTTTTCAAGCTTATGGTCTTTTTGAAGCATAACACCTGTATTGAAATGTAGATTTAAATTTTGGTATTTTGATATTGAAATGTGAATTGTTTGTGAATTTTGACTTTTGAAAATATTTGTTTGTAGTTTTTTCTATTGAAAATTTGAATGTGTATATTAAAAATTCTTTTTTTAAATTAATAAAATGGATGATTAAAAACAAGAATTAGTATAATATTAAAAATTAACTAATACGATTTTAATTGTTAGTAGGCATGGAGGTGACATCGGATCCTGGGCTGAGTGATCGTTCTGTCCTGACATTGCAGGCCTCACACAGGAGTGAGGATGTGTGGCTTGGCCTCGATGTTCAGGTGGATAGGTGCCACGAGCATCTGCGGGGTTTGTCGCATATGCACGTGGACGACAGAGTACTTGCATATGTTCGTGTTGCGGGTTTTTATGGTCTGCACAGATTGATGGCTATTGTCCCTCTCGATAGAGCGCTACTCACTGCTCTTCTTGAGCGTTGGAGACAGGAGACACACACATTTCACCTCTCTGTTGGTGAGGTGACAGTGACCTTGGGAGATGTTGCTGTACTTACTGGGCTACAGGTTCATGGGAGAGCTGTTACAGGCACTGCTTGTCGACATTGGGTAGATGAGTGTGAGCGCTTGTTAGGTGTCCGCCCCGTTCTTCGGACTGACCTTCAGGGGTCATCCCTGAGGATGCCATGGTTGAGGGAGCACTTCCAGGTGCTTCATCCGGACGTTGATGACGTGATGATCTAGCAGCATGTGTGGGCATATATCTTGATGATGATGGGAGCCTCCATTTTCGCTGATAAGAGCGGAAATGAGATTCAGGTGCTGCACTTGCCTATGCTAGAGAGGTTTGATGTAGCAGCACAGTTCAGCTGGGGTAGTGCCACGCTGGCTTATCTCTACAGACAACTGTGTCGCGGTTGCCATAGAGGGAGCACAGAGTTTGGAGGATTTTTGCTACTCCTCCAGATTTGGTCATGGGAGTATATCCACATTGGCCGTCCCATTGTAGTCGCATATCATGGCATTGATGGACACCCTCTCCCTGATCAGCCTCCACGTCTTCTGGGACCACATCATGTACGGGGCGAGGACCCTCTAGGGCGTCGATATGTTTTCAATCGTTAGTATTTATGTTATTGTATGTTGAATGTAAGTATATTAATAATATTCATATTAATGAAACGGTTACATGAATGGTTAGATGGCTATTTGCTTGTCTAAGTCGCATGTCATCCGCTACTGGGCTCGGTGTCTACAGGGATGCATTTGATCGGATGTCTGAGGATCAGGTATGGTGTGGGTAATATAACATTAACTATAAAATGTATAGCATAAATACTAATTTTGTATCTTTATAAAACAGATTACATGGATGCCCTATACTGAGATGTTTGCAGAGTTGCCCCCAGCTGGACGAGAGCATACTGACATATGGCGAGCACGTGTGCCGTTGATATGTTTTGACATTGTTGAGCTTCATTTGCCTGATCGAGTCTTGCGACAGTTTGGGTTTGAGCAGGTCATTCCATGGCCTATCGACACTTATGTAGAGCTTCATAGGCTGGATAGGCGTGGGAAGCATTCGGAGGATTGGGCACTCAGACATGTTCGATACATCACTATGTGGGACAGGCGAGCTGAGCTAGTTGTGAGTGGGACACCGACATTTGTCCCATCTGTTTCAGGAGATTACATGGGATGGTATTACAGCATCACTCGTTTGTTTGTGTCTCCTTCGTTCAGACTCCCTACTCATCATTATCAGCCTAGCTCCTTGGCTTTGCATCTTACGCTGAGTATATTACTAATTAGTAAAGTAAGTCATTTTATTTATTGAATACTTGTATGTATTTCAATGTAATTGTAATTGTGTTTCATATTTCAGACACGAGCTTTGCAGCGTATACATCAGCGGGTTACTGCCACAGTGAGTGATACTCATGATGTGGACATGTATGGACAAACTTTGACAGGCATTGCCTCCTTGTGTTCAGATGTATTGGAGCGAGATGACTACGGTCATCTTATACACATGCCCCCATCTCAGGAGATGGCATCGACGTCTAGTGCAACGGCGGCTTCATCATCCCAGACGCAGCATGAGAGAGTGGT